AATCAAATGCCTTTTTTTTTACAAAGTTCTTGCAAGTATTAACTTTTATATATACATGCATTATCTAAAACTAATACACTATATTGTTTAGAAAATAGATTAATTTTTGGTAACTAAATATATATAAATTTATTATAATTATTACTATATATATATTATATATATTGTGAACAGTAGGATGGTAATGCCGGAAGCTCGTTTAAGCAGGTGATCGGTGTGGTGCAGTAACGAATAAATGGCTATGCCGATCACTTACCTTAAATGGGTTTCCCGGCAGTATATGCTGTATTCGCAGTATACTATATATCCTACGTATCGGGTGAATAATGGGTATCAGTGGGATCAAGGGTATACTTAAAATAATCAGTATTGTCCGTATAATGAGTATAAACGTTATAAAGTGTATAACATGTACTATGTAAATGAAAGTATATAATAAAGGCTTCGAGCCCTCCAAGAACAGTTCAGTCAGTTAGTTCTCATCATAAATTCGCTCCCAATAATTTTCCTGTCTAAACATATTATAAAACCTACGATCATAAATACACCACTCTCCAAATCTAACCGCCTCTTATTGACTAAGCTGTTCGTAGGTTACACGACATATTCCATCGACAAGCGACTGACTTGCCGTTTCGCCCGTGTCAATATATAAATAAAAATTCTTACTAAAGTAGGTTCAATAAAACTGTTATAATTATTATAGTTCATTAATCCTTCTTGAATACAATAAGCTAAAAGGCTATTAATACATAATGCACCTTCTTTAGTAAATTATTTTTCTTGAACAAAAAATATATATTTTTGAGTACACAATTTTGAAAAACTTTAACCATAATAATATAACAATGTTTTTCTATTATGAGCAGTTTCATTTAAAAAAACTAACTGATTTAATATATATTAGAACATTCATAAGATAAAATTATTTCTTTAACTTTATTTCTTTCTTTTGCAATTTTAAAATCTATAAAATTAAAATTTTAATGAATTAAATATATTTTGATATAGAATTTTACTTTTTTATATATGTATTCAAGTTGGTGTATAGTCTTTCAGATTGTTATAAGCCTAATGTTATATTCTAACAACAGCTTCATTTCAGATTGTAATTATAAAAATACTAGTCAGGTTTTTCTTTTATTAAGGTTTTAAGATATTTTATATTGTTCATGTTTAGTAAATATAGTTTTTCTAAAAATAAAGAAAAATTTTTAATGCATCTATATCTTTAAAAGTATGTAAGAATCTGATCTGACTTATAGAAAACTTGCTAGCTTCTAAGTGTTTGGAAATTTTTTTAACTAATAAACTTTGTAAATTTTTTTTAACTATTTGCTAATAAAGATGCTTAGTCAATATCATTCTAAAGGTATTAAAATTTTTTAAAAATAAATTTTTATTAAAAAATAATTAAAAATAAATAAAGGCTTTGTTTGAGCAAAACTTAATAATGCCAAAGAATAGAAATTAAAATTTTATAACTTATACATGCAACAAGTATGCATGTTAATATATAGTCTTATTGTAATATATATTAGTTATCTGATTTTTTTAAATTATATACATATATATATATTTAATATATCAAATTTATCTGTTGCTAAATTTTATTATTTCTGAAATAAATAACTTAACCAGATTAGCTAAAAAATTATTTAGCAAATTTTTATAGGTGTCTTAAAAATTATAATAATAGCTGTAAGAAAAATTTTAAGCAGTTTCAATTTCTAGAGTATAATGACTTTTATTGTAATTAGCAGATCATTTTGTAACATTTTACAAATATAATTGGTTAATTGATAATAAAAAATTATTTAACATTAAGCTTTTTTATAAGCTAAATTTTTATTAATAAAACATTACTTCAATATTTCACAATTAAGAATCTAAGACTATAAGCCTAGCACAAACAAGTTCCTATAAATAAGAGCTTTATTAAATATATATAGATTAAAAAAAAATAAAAATCATTAAAAAGATAGATATAGAAATACAAAAACACAATAAAAGCATATAAATTAATCTTAATTGAAATATAACTTTTATTAACATCAAACTATTTGACCCTAATGACCTTAATAATAATTATTATAAGAGATGTGTAACCTAGTAAAGTGGATAGGTTGTCAAATCCCAAGTGGCAGGTCTAGAGTTCAAATTCTAGTAATAGTAAAAATTTGCAATTCTTTCTGTATTACAGTTAACTGTTTTCTGTGATTGGTTGAGATTAGATATTTGTAATCCATATTATATCAGCATAACTGAAAGGTCTAGGCTCTTGCACAATGTTGTATGAAGAAACACAAACCAGTACTAGGCAGTATGAACTCAAGATAAACCCTTAGGCCATGTAAATTACAAGAACCAGATAGAAAGATGGAAGCCTACTTGAAAGACCTAAGTAAAGAGATAATCTAATTTTTAACAGTGTTACTGTAAAAACTAAACTTATAAAATAGAAGTAGAACTTGTGAAACTGGACAAATATGCCAGTCTTTAAGAAGTGATCAGATGAACCAACCAGGCTGCTAAAATTTCTGACTTTTAGAAAAAAAGAATACATGTTAGCAAAAATGTAAACCAAAGGTATAATTATGATCTACCTTTTTGAGCTATCTGAAATGACAGCTTGGTAGAACTTAAATTAAATACCAAAATAGTAAGAATATGTTGTAAAGTTAGTACTAGGGTTGAAGTGAACTCTACAAGAACATAACAGCTTAATAGTATGCCCTAACTGCCAGTGTTGGTCTTGGTTATAGCAATATTAGGTCAGCTATAAGAATGAAATACAGAAGATTCTAGAAGGTTTAGTACAAAGTCAAAGGTTCCAAAAAACTGCTTTAAAAACTTAGTGGTTATGGCATATTTTCATCTACTTCAGTTAGGGTTGTTAGTAAACAAAAAAAGGTAGGTAAATACAAAAACTAAAGTAGTTAAATAGAGAACCTACAAGCAAGTTCCAGGTATGGCAGCTAGTATAGAACCTTTAAGTAAACTACTTAAATTAAACTTATCTAAAGTTGTACAAGTAGCTAGTTGTACACTCTTTCTATAGTTGCTCTCTATAGTTGTAATACAACTATTAGCCAAATATACTATTAATAAAATCTTGAGTTGCAAGTACTTATCTTAATATTTAAAAAAAAAAAATTATTATTATTATAATTTCAAAATTTACTAACTTTTGCTTATATTACTCTTAATATAATATAGTATATAGTTATGAATTTTTAAAATCTACTTTATATAAGTTTTATTAGCTAATCTATAGTATTTATTATGGTCTAAATCTGAATCTTGATCTATTATACATATTGTAAGCCTAATTTTTGGAATTATGAGTTTCTGAATTGAGACAATGATTCATATACAATCTAATGTTATACAAAAAGTAATAAAAATGTTACTTCTGCTACTTTTATTACTTCTGTTATTTTTGTTACTTCTGTTATTTTCATTACTTCTGCTATTTTAGTTACTTATATAATAAATGAAATATCAACTTTTTATTATATTTAGTTATGATATAGAGTATAAAGAATATATTGCATTTATAATAGAAATTAATTACCAATATAGATAAAATGTTTATTATAAATAAAGAGCATTTTTGTCTAAGAGAAAAAGATAACCTTCTCCTAAACAACAAAAATTATCTCTTATACAAATAAATTCTTTAATAACAGTAACTATCTGATTCTTAAAAGTAAAAATATTACTTTGTACAAACTAATAAGTAGCTGTGCAATGTTGTTGCATAAAACCAGAACTGAGAAAATCTATGCAAACTTTATTTCAGTTATAGAAATTATATTCTTTATTGTAATCCATTCCTAATATAAGAAAATATTTCTTTATAAAAGAAGTTAATAGTACTTGCAATCTGAATATTGGTTTGAATTTTAGTAACTGATCTAAAAACCTATTAATGAAATCATTGTCTGACTGCTATATAGTTGGTTAGTTAGCATCACTCAATTCTGATAAATTTGATTCAAAATTCTGGGATTCTGCAAAAAACATTAAATCTATAAAACATATCTATATATTTAAAAAAGATCAACAAATTTTTTGATTAAGTTTTTAATAATTAATAATTATCATTTTATCTGCCTGATAAAAAGAAATAAAAAAAAATAAAAATTACAAAATACTTAGCATTGAGAACTTTAAATTTACATTAGGTTACTAATTCTTGTATTAAAAAATTTATTTTTACTACTGTTTGTTATTGTATCTTTGATTTACAGATGTATATATACATTTATAAGGGTTTTTTTTTTTACTAAACTGTGAATAAGTTATATAGACCAATCAATTTCAAGACTTTGTGTACAGAGACATTTATTCCTGATACCTACTTTTTAAAATATTGTTCAGAGTGCTACACAAAGTTATTATAAAGAATAACTCAATTATATGCTAAAAATTACATATACAATTTAACTCTTAAGTAAACTATACCTTATATAAGTCACAAGAATCGATTATTCAATTATTTAAGATTGTATACATCCATATCTGAATTACTTATAAACTATACACTACATTGTATATTGTACAAACTCTGTTTCTGGTATAAACTATTATTAATCTTATTACTGACACAATTATTTGCTTATAAATCACCAAACTTACTATTGACTGTTTGCTGAAAATTATATAACAAGACTAATAATATAATAAAGAAGTCTCAATTCTGATTCAACATATTGTAATCTTGGGTTAAGGCAAACAAGAGAAGACAAGAAAAGGCAAAAGTTAATAAAAAAATAAGTTGAAAAAAAGATTCAAAGAAAAGATTAGTACTTATATACGAATAAACTATTAGCCAAATCTAATACACTTATTCTGACTTAGCTGCTATAAGTTATATAAGAGTTGGATTGGGTTAGTGACAGACTCACTAATTTCTAAATTACAATATTAAGATTTTATTTAGTTTTATTATATTAAGTGCCTGTTATATTAAGAGTAATGTATACTAAATTATTTTACTATTTTATGTTACTAGGCTTGTTACTAAATTATTTTACAAAACTACTAAACTACTAACTATATGACTGGCAATATCTGTTTTAGGATAATAAATAAAATATAATAAAATAAATTAATAAAAATAATTCTTTAGAAACCAATTACTAAACTTAATACTACAAAAACTTATCTTGGGTTTATATTAGAATACTGAAAATTTAATTGTAATTAAATTACAATTAATTAAATTGTTACATATAAACAATTGCAAAACAATTAATTGTAAAATAATTTTAATAATAGCAATTTTTACATAATAATTATAAGTTTTTTAACTATAATTTTGACATTATGAGTCTAAAAAGATTTTGGTATTTTGAATAGATTATTACTTAATTAAAAAAGAATTTAATCAATTTGTTACATTTTTGTTATATATGACTTATCAGTAATATATAATATATTTGATAAATGTTATAGTAATTAGTAATTATTCAGAATGATATTTTTGATAATATCAGTAGAATACAACATATTGATAGCATTAATAATATCAGTTATATTTTTTGTAAAATATAAATATAGTGTTTATAGTTATAAATAAATACTGAAAAAACCTTTTAAGAAAAAGACAATTTCTACTTTGCAACCAATACACAACTAACATAATTCATAATTATTTATAATAAAACAGTTTATTAATAATAATAAATGAAAAATTTTATTAAATACAATTATTATTATATAATTTATTTTTAACTTGTAACTACATAATATATATTAGTATATTTAATTAATAATAATCTAAAACCTTCTTTACTAGTAGAATTTGACTATTACCAAATAAATTACTTAACAAATCTAACACATTTTTTTTGATCTAAATTAAATCTTTCAAGTAATTATATAAAAAATTTCAGTATAGAATAACTAACTTATTATTTTATAATAATAATATCAAAAATTAGCAAGTTATTATTTTACAAATTGTAACAAAAATTGTAATTAATTAAAAAATTATAACTTTATTACCAATAAATTTATTAAAATCAAATAATTATAATTAATTGTTCTTATAATTAATTATTTGATAATTTTAATTTATATTATATAAGTATAAATATTTAAAAACTGTAATTTAGTTGCTTTAAAATCTAGAATTTTGTATAATAAATAATAAATAATTTTTTAAAAGAAGGGTGTTAGATTTAATTAATAGATAATTATTTAAATTAATGAAGTCAAATAGAATAAGCTATATAATCAAAAATTTAAATAACAACAAATTTATTAAGTTTATAGAATTTATATTAGTAATAATATTAGTTTAATATTATAAATAATATATAAGATTTAGACTTATTTTATAGTAAATAAATAAAGTATAATATTCTTAGAACCTATTTTTTTTTACTTAAGTAGCCATACTAGTAACTTTTTAATTAAGAAAATATTAACTCTACTGCTAATATTACATACTTAATTTTAAAGTTTCAACTTTTTTGGCTGTTTTTATAAATGTTCAAAAGTGACCTATTATATCAGATTGTAACAAATTATTACTTGAAAAACTATTTCTGACTGTTATCTTACAATAAAGTATTACTAATCTGATAATATTTTCTTATAAAAAAGTAAAAAAAAATAAAAAAACTAAACTAAACTAAACTAAAAAAATTATAAAAAAAAAAGAAAAAAACAAAAGTATCAAAAAGTACATCTACCATATAAAAAAGTAGTTTGTATAGGTGCAGGAAACACAAGTAAAGGCACAGTAGATTGTGGCATAGTTTGAAAACTGGGTTTTCATATGTTTCTTTCAGATTAGTACAAATTTACTGATCTGTTTTGAACTATTTGTCTGTGTATTTTGGACTGAAAATAAACTGATTTTGTAGCAGTTTACTAAGCCAAAATTTACAGATTTTGGCACAGGATTGATATGTAAATTCACTGAAGATGACATGTAAATTTGCAAATAGATAAATGTAGATCCATAAAGTAACAACATGTAAATTTATAATATATAATACATAGATCCACAAAGAAATAATATATAGATCTATGAAAAAGTAATGCATAGATCTATAAAAAGGTAATGCGTAATTTTACAAATAAATTAAAATGTATTATTAATGATATATATATTACAAACTTAAATTAAATGCTAGCATATAAGTATATTTCAAATAAATTTATTATTCTAATAATTATTTAATTAACAAATATTATATACTAAAATGTAAAAATTTATTTAATACAAAAAATAGATTAACATTTTATATTAAAATTATTAACCTATCTTATTGCTAATTTAGTTTTCTTAATTTTTGTCTAATACTAATCTATTATTCCTAGTAGATTATATTAGCAATAAAATACTTTCTCTTTGGATCTATTTTGGTAAAAGATTTTTTAACCTTTAATTATGCTTCTTAGAATTAATATTAAGTTTTTGTTGTGTTTAGCTACTTATTTTATCAATTGCTTCTTTAATTGATATATATGGTTTTATGTTATCTATAATTAAAATTATTATAATTAAATTATAAATAATTTATAATAAATAAGCATAAGAATTAAATTATTAAAAGTATTATATATTATTTTTAGATATATAGTTAAATACTTTTAAAGTTTTGATTTACAGTATTTTTATTTGCTTTTTCACTATCAATATCAAAATTAGAAGTAATATAACTGTTGTAAGAAAAATGAAGATTATCATCAGAAGTTGATTCTATATAACTATTAGAAGTAGAAATATTATAGTTATTAAAGATAAAGATAGCATGAATGCTAAAGATAGAACCAACACAATTTTCATTTAAGTCAGTTTTATAAAATTCTAAATTGTCAAAATCATCTAATTAAAAATTAAAATAATAGTTTATTAAATAAATTTAATTATTTTTTAAATAAATTATAATATAAAGCATATTTTTATCAATTGTATTAGTTATTTGTTATTTATATTATATTTCATTTTATGCTCTAAATTTAAATTCGAATTTTCTTTGCCAGAACTTGTATATTTTTCAGTAAATTGATATGATATTTCTAATTCATTATTACTACTAGTACTAAAAATTTGTGTACTAGAATTAACAATTTTTAACTTCTTATTTTTTTTCTTAACCCATTCACTATAAATATATATATATATATAATAATTAAATATATTTTATGAATTTATTAATAAAGTATGTATATAGTGATATGGGTCCCATAGCTTAGCAGTTAAACTCCTATATTCTCCACAGTCAAGATCAATGATTCAAGTTTGGCTGAAAGCAAAATTAAAAGATTTTAGCTTCTGTAACCTAATAAGGAGCCTGTAATTAAATGTGAAGCCCTGTGGTTAAGTTCAAGTGCAATACAATAATATAAATAGGAATTTTTGAAAGGAAACCTAATTATAAAGTGCAGGCACTATGTGTAACAAGCAGTTGTTACAGAAGGTTACAGTTATAGAAAGATTGCACATATAAGTTCTTTAGGCTAGATTAGCATCAACATCCTTATACCTCCTAATATAGGCAGTACTAACATCTTTGAATCCAATTTGTGAAATACTTGCTTGGAAGAATAATCAATGTATTGTGCAAATAAGTCTTAATTAGAATTCAAGAAGAGGATTTGATTGGAAGAGTATTCTAAAAGTAACCAAGACTAGAATCATAAGAGAAGTAGTAAACATGAAAATAGGCTGTAATAAAGAATTGGTCTAACCAAAAATTGAAAGCACCTTTAATACAGCTAAATAATCTAAATATAAAAAAAAATCTTAGAGGTTGGCATATAACTTTCTTCTGCAATATAAAAGTACCAAATCAGATTCCTGGTCATACCTATATAGAAGTCTATGATGAACAAGACTGGGATCAACCAACCAATGTGAGATAAGATCTGTAAGATAGTATGGCATTACTAAGGTTGGTATAACTCTCTGAGGCATAACCAGAATTGTCCTGCAGGTATTATCAAATAAGCTGAGAGCTTGCAATATATAATAGTATAGTATCATTGAAGTCAGAGGAATTTTCTAGGTATAACCAGAATTGTTCTGTTTGTAAGCACAACAAGTCTTAGTTTCTATCATAAAAAGAAGCAATATATTGGAGTTTAAATGCAGTATTAAGTTACTGTATAATGTTAAGAACTGGGGCATCTGCTGGAATGGTGGCAGCAGACCTGGCTTGAAATATGAATTGGTCAAAAGACCAATAGTGGCAGCAGATCTGGCTTAAGATACAGGTTTATTGCAGATCCTAGACCATTGTCAGAACACCTTGGAGAAATCAATAACAGGCATACCTAAGATGGAAAGATCATAAGGATTAAATATACCCAAGTAAGACTAATTTGGAAGTAGTACAGTAACAAAAAGATGAAAAATATGGAGAACAAAGTAATACTAAATATAGTTAGATTAAGAGGCAGAAGAAACAAAACCAAATAAACATATGGATAAAACATATGTATATGATTTACAAAAGACAGTATTTCTGGCATTTGGGATACTATATTAAGTTCAGTAGATATTCTTGTCTATGTAGTAGTTTAATGATATGTCTTGACTGCAAGTGGTTGTTAAGATAACTGCATGCAAGCATGCAGTGAACATGCACTTAGGTGCCATAAGGGTAACCAGATAAAGTCAATAATGTAAAATTAGATAGTATATAGTACTAATAATAATCGATTCTAAAAATGTAACTATAAATTTGTACTATATCAAATTAAAACTAATAAACCAACTGGCATTGTCACCAAATTTTAAAAATAAAAAAATAAAAATAAAATAAAGTATGTATATATTAATATTAAAATTGCCTTTATTATTTAATTTTTGTTTTAAACACATTTCTACAATCTATTTATTTAAACTAAACTAAAGTTTATACTTATTATATACCTATTAAATTAATTTTATACAATAATAAAAAAAGAAATTCAAATTTAGTAAAAATAAAGTTCATAGGTTCAAATAAAATTTATAAAATTTTTTTATAATATAGTAGAAAGTATATAGATTCTATTATTTTAATTTTTAATAAGTTATAATATTCAGATAATATTACTTATATTATTAATCTAACTTGTTCTTGTCATATATCCTAAATGTGATCAGGTTGTTGATGCTTCAATTTTGGTTTCTTCAAGATGTAGTGTAAAATCAGCTTTAATTTTTAAAAAATAATCTTTTAGTAATTATAAGCAAAGTGCAAATAGTTTTAATTTTGATAATTGATGTTTATTTCTTTTAGGTTTTTGTATAATAAGTATTTCAAAATTAGCTTTTTCAGTTTTTGTTTCTTCAAGTTATTAAGTATTTTTCTTTATGCATTATAACACAATTTTAAAATTTCTATTTGTTGACTAGTTGATAATATATTTAAAGTTTCTGCAGAAGGAAGTTTACAATCTATAATTTTTGAGACAAATATTCATAAGAACTTAAAGAGAAAAGCATTATTACAAAAATGTAAATCAAAATATAAACAAACTATAAAAAACTAATTTATTATTATTTAGATTACAAATTAAATAAATTTAATTAGCTAATAATTTGACATATATATTTATTAATTTTTGTGTAATAAATAACAATTGAATTTTTTGCTAATTATCTTTAATTTTTACAAAATAATAATAATAATAATGATTATTAAAACCAACCTATTCCTATCAAAGCCCTGGACAAGTTGGCTGATCAAGCTGAAGACTTTGTTTGCAAACAAAATGAAGTTAAAACTAATCCTAAATGTCATAATTACTATTTCTACTGCTACCTCTTACTATATTACCAAACTGCAGCAGAAAATCACAACATACAGTCTCTTTTCAAGGAAGAGGCAATTAACTTATTAACAAAAACATTATTGATACTAAATTTCTTGCCCAAATCATTACCTACTTTGATATTGTCAAAAATCAAAAATCTACCTACTTACAAATTGTCAAATATTTCAATAATATTGCCTACCTTGCAGCTAAGAAGTTTTTAGCAAAAAAATTTAATCTTGACTTTCAACCAGTCTTCATCCTTGACTTACTCTTTTTACAATCCCCTTTTTAAATTCTTTGTCTGTTACAACTAACATTGAAGCAGCCACCACCTTATTAAAAGAAACAACTACTATAGTTAATAAGAAAAATGAAATAAGTAGACAGGTGGACAAGTCTATTTATATAAAAGACCATGTTAATGATGATCAGACCCAACGTACAAGGCAAACTATGGTATCTTGCACAGCTGTAAGAGCCAAGCATATGGTGATCGACCTTGTAGAAGACAATTTTGAAAGATCATTTACAATATCTTTAATCCCCTATAATCTTCACACATGTTTTAACAAATTCTTTCTCTATTACAATTTACTACTTCTCCCTTATGGTCAAACTATTCAAACCTTAATTCAACATATTGACAAATATAATAACAACAAAACTGTATCTAGTATCACATTCTTTGTTAATTCATTTTATAATGAAACCCATATATACCTTCCTAATAACACTCTTTTGTCAGATTATAATATTATTGCTTCAATTTTCTTTCACTATTCTATAAACTCCCTCTCAAATCCAACTCTTTAGCTCTACTTCTACTCTATCTAATCCTCTCTCTAATAATAACTACTTAACTCCTATTGACTATAACTCTACTTCACACTCTTCTGACTCAAGTTTTCATCATCTTAATCTAACTATTACTACACACAATGTTAGAGGCTTTAATTATCCAACAAAAAGAGAAGCCTGGCAAGTTTACTGTCTTAATAATGACATATCTATTGCCAGTATTACTGAAACAAAAATCTCTGACAAAACTAACCTTTTCTTTTACAACAACAATTTTTTTACCTATTACTGGTCCAACTCTTCTACTTCTGTAGAAGGAACAGCCATTATGATTCATAATCATCTTAAACCTCATATTCATAGTGTTAATACCCACTCAGGAGAAGCTATTGCACTTGATATTTTCTTTCACAGCAATGTTAAACTTCATATTATCTCAGTATATCTCTCATCTACTGATATAGCTATTCGCAACCAAACTCAAAACACAGTAATCAACTGGATTCAACAAGCTTCTTAACTCTACCTTCATCCTATTATCCTTGGTGATTTCAATATACAGAATTACACTTATAGTTTCTCTTCTAAATATAAACTCATTAACTTTCTTAACCACTCCAATATGTATAATATTGGAGCCTATTTTAACAACAAACATTTTACTTAGTCTAACAACACTAGTAGTAGTCACATTGACTATATCTGGACTGACAAATTTAATATACAATTCCTTTTTTCCTACAGTCTTGACAACAGCCAAACCTTTACCTCAAATGACTACTTGATTCTTACCTCTAGTTGGACATTTCCACATACTTACAGTAAACCTTTACAAAAACATACTGGAATCAGTTATTGTATATTTAATTATAGAATGATGACTACAAAAGACTGGAACTCCTTCACTAATACTTTAACTCAACAACTTTCTCTATACAAAACTCCTATTAATAGTACTACTGATGAAAGTATTGAAACTACTTGGCACAAAATTCAATGTTCTATAATCTATGCAGCTACTTACACAATTCCTAACTAAATTTCTCACAAACGAAGTTACAACCATCAATATTTATCCCATAGCACTCTATTACACCTCTCCCTTAAAAAACTTAAACATATTATTAAACTTGTTAAAAAACTAATCCAATCATCTAACATCTCAAATATTAATCAAAATATTTCCCAAATTAATAAACAGTCACAATGTGATCTTCAATTACTTATCTTTGTCAACCCCTCCTGTATTCAACCATGGCTTCAACATGCTCACTCTATTTGAAAACAATTTTACTATGCTCATCATCTTGAAAACTCTCTTTTACTCTAACAACAAATCAATAAAGCTACTAACAAAAGATGTGTTACTCTAACTGCACATCCTACTCAGACTATTAATAGCATTCTAAATTGCTATCATCAACCTGTTTATCTCTCAAATATAAAATTGCCAAACCAACTTATTACTGATTCATCACTTATTAAACAACATGTC